AGTTTGATTGCGAAGATTGAGGTGTTATTAGTTCCGCTAGAGTTTCGGACTTAATGTGGCACGGCCAGGGCAATGTGGGGACCAAATTCACTCCACTGGTATTATTCTTTCTTATTATCTGCCCAAGATTGCTATCCATAGACTTAAAGTACATACATATTGTATGTATTAATAATAATTGGAATTCTTATGTATGCTGATTTGGTGTACAGTCGAATTTTATAAGTGACCACTTCTGTGTAAGGACCATATAAGCTGTAGCGTGAGGATAAAAAAAACCCTGTCTGACTTTTGAAACTACCTGCCTACTTCGACTATTTTATTGAAGTCCCTTAGTAAGTTACTAGTGACTACAATGATGTATATTACAGGATTTGGCTTTTCGTAAAATCTCCACCTTTGTAATAATATTTATTGGCTGCAATAATAACAGAAATCCTACAAGTTCCAGCTAGGTTATATTAGTGTTAACGTGGTGAAATATTATTTTGGAATACTCCATATTTCTCTATATGGAGACACATTTCACAGAAAAATGGAAAGGAAAAAACAAGTTTTACCTTTACACTGTAAGATACAGTCATCCTTCCCAGTTATTATGATAATCAATGACTGTGGGTAGGATGTTCAACCCAGAATGAATTGGTCTGCCCCAGTTGTCCCCAAGGGCCCATAGCTTTTAATCTAGTGGTAATCTTCCCCCCTTCATTGGTACGGTTTGTACGCGGATTACTCTTGATCCGCCCATGTTACCTTGTTGTTTACCCAGCTGTTCTGAGCCCTGATTGGCCAGAACAGCAGGGTGATGAAACAAAAGAGATCATGTGATGAGAAATGTGTAGCACCAGTAGCAGGTGGGAGAGTTTTCTGCAGCAGAGGCTCTCCGTCAGTCTGTCTGATTACACTGCAGCGCTGACATATCATAAATAGGAGGCATGCGGATCAGGTAGGCGAGCGGCTCTGTGTATTCCTCCTCTATTACCCCTCATCGCCCTTATTGACATTTGGGGGAGAGTGCGTCAGAGGGATGTTTTATAGATCTGGAACTCAATGACCGGGACGTCAGATGGCATATAGATGGACTGGTTAAACTCGTTGCTAAAAAGCCAGGTGGCAGTTGCGGAAAGTGTAGTATGCGTGCGTGTGTGTGTGTGCGGAGATCAAGAGAAAGAGGCAGGTGTTGAAATTGGTGTTGCATCTGTGAGTGTAGGTGAGTACTGCTACATGTAGCTGTTACACCTGTTCACATGGTTAAAGGTATTTTTTTGTTTCCCAGAATTTTTCATGAATATGTCACTATGTATTTGATGGCTAGTTCTTTGAAGGAACAATTTTTTTCAGTGAAAATGGTAAAGAGCAAAGCAAGAAAGCATTTTTTGTTTGGAATAGCATGTTCTGTTTACTTGGAAGTCATGATTTTCAATGGTGTAAGGTTATAATTAGGAGGTTTACATAAATGCTCATTGCGTCTCACTCTGGGTGTTATTTTAGGTTATCAAACAATCCGTCTTTGACACGAAGCCTTTTCATGTCACTGTCACTCGTTTCCTGTCGGCGAATATTTTCCTCGTCGGCGATGTTGCGATTTCACGGTGACTGGTCGTGCGATCCCTTTTGAAGTGAACCGCCTCAGACCTGTTACGCACGGCAATAAACGCTAGACCAATAAAGGTGTATTTACTCAGGTCAGGTACGGCTTCCTTGACATTTCTAGGTCGTTCCTCCTATGCAGAATAGCGGGGTGTATTTGACATACTTTGGATGGGAGATTTGTTTTCTGAGTCAGTTGTAAATTGTACCAAGTACTAAACAGCGTTTTCTAGGTAAGCCACACCTGATAGGCAGTCAGTTGTGAAAGATCTAAGCACGTTCACGCGTGCGAAGGAAATCTTTTCAGTTACCTCCACGTCGGATGCATTTGAAATATTGCTCTGCCAAGCGATTCAGGATTTATTCGTGTCTTTAGGTGTATTTAGCACTGGGTACGTACATGTTTCTTTAACATACACGAGGAAATGGCAGTCTTTTCGATCAGGTTATTGTATCTTGATTGCGCTGATGGTGGTTTGTTCATGTAGGGATCTCTTTTGTTTAAAGATTCAGAAGTAAGCCGTATTATCAAGCCATAGGTTTAATCTAATGGCAATATATTTTGTACTGGCACGTAGTACTGATGGAAGATTTGGAGTTTCATTAGGAAAATCCTATCCTCGAGTGATATGTACTGCATGCTGAGGAAAGTACTTGAATTAGTATTACCAGCAGCGCTTTGAAATTTGAGTTTTAGATTGGAAAACCGTATTTTAGTTTTAGTTTCATCTATGTTTGAAGATAGGCTCTACTACATATAGTTTTGGTGTCTATATTCGATCAGTTGGTGACCTGTTTCTATGGTTTAAGTGCTAATATAATGACCAGGACAGGTGGGCAAAGTTGATCATGATTAATCCCAATCAAATCCTGGATGCACCATATGCTACAGAGAATAGGGGAAAATGGCCACTGATTTCTGTCATTTTCAGTAGTCATCTGAAAAATTAATTTTGTTGTACATGCTTGCAGACTATAGAAAATAACAATTATGAAAATTTTGTAGAGCATTTTACCTCATAAACAAATTGCTCTGTCAGCTTTTATGCTTTTTTCTTAGATAAATCCAATCGAAATTCAATCATGCAATAAACATTTTTCAAGGAAAAAGCCAATATGTATAAAGGGAAATATACATTATGACACTTATGTTTGATGTCTACCTTTTGATTTTTATGCTTACTAATACATAATATTGAATATTGGAATACTATTTTCCCATTTTTGCAAGTCAGCTATAGCCAAACATTATATGGGATCGTGACACTTGTCCGAAGTGCTTCTTTTCATACAATTTTATTCCACTTCTCAATTTTATGGTTTTAATGGAAAACCGTTCAAGGGTATGATGGAATAGAGGTAACTGCCGGCGGCTTCAGCGGGGAGCCAGAAGGGATGATGGGAATTAACACTGGGCTCATCTGTCACAAACAACAATTCCCACGGAACCTACCAAAATCCACACGGGGGAGACAAGCTGCTCTATCTGTCTGAATCTGTCTGAATATCAATTTTTACTGCAAAAGTCTTGCACATCATGGTGTCGTGTGGAATAACAGCAGAGTGTTCGGCTGGGAACAAAGAGGTCCCGGGTTCAAACCCTGCCATGTCACTGATCTTGTGCTCTTGGGAAAGGCACTTTACACGACTTTCCTGGATGGAAGCCTGGCGAACCCCATCTCATATTAGCCACAAAAAGGCAGCAAATTCTTCAGGCGGCTGCCTCAAAATGAAAGAACCACATGCGTTGCTGGCTTGTTCATTGGCATGTATTTATTTCTGATCAATTTTATGAGTCATCTAAGTGGTCGTGAACATTTTCACCAGCCTGTAACAGTTATTAGCTGTAATGTGTAAAGTTGCTAATGGATTGGTATATTTCTCATGTTGGAGCATGTGATATATTTTATTGTCTTGACTCTTAACATAAATTTGCCAGATTGGAAACCATATTAAGTTATTGTGTAAAAGTTGACCTGATGTTTTAAGAGTTATGTGGGAACATTAGTTTATGTCTAAACATGAAAAAACCTGTATGTACACGTACTAGTATCAACTAGGGAATTTTTAAAGCTTTGGTTGGTAAACCTAGCAGTTTTCATTCTATTTGCAAATTTATAGTAATGGCGGCAAGTGAATGCAAAGAGAAAATATTCTGCTATTGCAGAGGTTTGATAGTGTCTAGGTGTTCTAGTTCTGTAGAATATCATAATCACCTTTGAAAGGTTGAAATTGCAGGGATTTATTTTCAGTCATGTTGAACTTCTACTCCACTTTGAAAAATGTCTGATCCTTAAGAGCTTTACTATTTCCATGGTTCCACCCACTGCCTTGCTTTTGACTTGCTTTTAACATTCCCTGCAGAGTCAAGTGCAACCCACCACTCTCTGATTCCAGTCATCCAAACCTCTCCACTGACCAGCTTTCCTTAGTGAAAACTCCACCTAAAACCCAACTAAAATCCCACTGCAAGTTCTAATCAAATTCCACCCATCCCATGGTATTCAGACCCTTTGGTTCTCGGATTTTCCCCATAGTTGATCAAAGAGGCTTTGATGATGTAAAGACTCCTGTTTCGCTCCAGATGGGAGTTTTACAAAGACCTGTATTCCCCCGTGGAAGCTAGGAACAGGTGCAGAGATGGAAATCATAAGCTACTGTAAGACTACAAGTCAGCGGAATGCTCTGACCTGACAGAGCGAAAAGTCTGGAGAATTTGTGCTTCACCCACTGGCTGTTATTATTGTAATGCTTTACACATGTTTGTAGCTAATAGGCAACTAACGAGGCTCAACACTTTTGACTGTAAGGACGAAAAGTGTTTCTTGTAAAATACATTGTAGATCCTAAAATTGTTTTCAAATGTGTGTTTATGTACATACATGATTGTCTTAAAATGTTTCTTCTTCTGAGGGCCTAACTGTGAGCCAAATTGTTTTTATTTCATTTGCAATTAATATAAATGAATTTCAACTTCCATATGATATAAATGTTAATGTGCCCCCGCATTTTTCAATTTCAGGATGACCAGTAATGGCAGATATTCAATTTAGCATGTGCAATTACTATGTCATAAAAATGCTAATCTGATTGTGGGTTAAGGACCATGTCGCACAAGTGATCACAAAGAGAGTCAGTTTTCATACTTAACCCATCTGTTCTATACTTCATGTATTATTGGAATGTTAGAAGGTGCTTCTTTGAAGAATATACTTGTCAAAGTTTTTTAGGAAAGTTTGGCAAAATTTAGGAAAGTTTGGCTAATTTTCCTGCCTATTCACAAAATGGATTAGTCTGGAGACATGCTATTGGCCAGTTGAGCACCATATGTGGTACGTAGTATCTATGGTCTGTAGCTAAAATTGTTCTCCATTGATGTTGGATCCTTTTCCCTTTATCTTCCTGCACAGATGGACGCTGTCTTCAGATAAGCCTGCAACAAGCGCTACATATCTCCTGTATCAATGGCTACAGTAACGCAGCTCTGATACAAGAGGGTGGATGAAAAACAACGCTGCAAGTAGGCCATTGTCTGCGTGAGATATCCTCTGATGGTACGACCGTCTGTAGAAGACAAAACTGTTTGAGAAGAGAAGAAGAGGTGGTTTGTATCGGTGACGGTTGAGTGATTCGGCTGCCGAGATGTCGTGCTACGTTATCGTGACATGCCGGTCGCTACTGTGGACACTGCTGAGCATTGCTGCAGCGCTCGCGAATCTAGCAGCGCTCATGACGGCGCAGTGGTTGGTCGGACAGCCGAGAAAAGCGGGCGTTCCCGGCGGGAACAACATCAATGCTTCCCGACAGACTTCCCCTGAAGAGTACTACCGCCCCACGATAGGCATATACAACAGGTGCACCTCGCTGCACTACTTCGGCGAGATTTTCCACGACTCCTGCGGACCGTACATTACCAGTTTCAGCGACCTGCCCAGTAATTTCTGGAAGGCGACGCTGGTGTTTATGGGGATGGGGATCCTATTATTGGTCATCGTGGTCTTCACGTCGCTACTGGGGTTCTGTGTCCACGCCATCGGGAAGAAGAGCATATTCAACATCTCTGGTCTTCTACAGGCCATAGCTGGTAGGTACAGTTGGAAGGAAATATAGAGTATAGCATTAACTGTCTTAATGTTTCTTCTCTTTTATTTCTTCTACTTTGAAGCAAACATGTAGCATTAGAAGAGAACCTTGATGTTGATTTCAAGGCAGAATGAAATTTGAGATGGACTGCGTAAGCAGGTAGGTAACCTTTGGAAGAGAAATGGCAGACATTTCTTGTAGCTAGCACTAGGACTAGTACTTCCTCTTTTCTGTTTCTTCCACTTCCAAACAAACATGCAGAATCAGCAGAATATGTTATTTGACTTCAAGGCTAAATGACATTTGATGTGCCAATAGTTTGGGTCTACATAAATGAAACATTTGTCTTTTGAACCATTCAACTACTAAAGTAGGCAAAGAAAGTATCCAGAGACCATGAGAGCCGCAGAATGTTGACAAAAAAAAGCAAGTTTGAAAAATTTGAGCTGCAACTGTAACTGCAAATTAGAGGGACCCTGGGCCCTACTAGGGTTTGGTTTGGTGTTAGAAAGGACATCCAGCCGTAAAAATCTTGCACTTGATGCAAGCACATCTAACCCCCAGTTTTGGGGGAAAAAAGACGTTAACTAGATAGAGAGAGAGAGCAACTAGAGAGAAATCAACTTATTACTACTGGCACAAAACCCTCTTGGGTATAACGTCCAGGGGAGATCTTGGTGCAACTGTGAGGGGAAAAAGTTGGTCTTGACTTCAGCCATTATGTGTGATTCATGATCCTCAACACAAGACTGGGGAAGAGAAATCAATAAGCAGAGGTGAGGAGGGAGAGCGCAGGTTTCTGTGGACAGGAGAGATTTCCCCAGAGACCTATTGCATTAATCAGTAGAGGCCGGTACATGTCCGGCTGTGATTAGGTCTGACAGGTTATAATGATAGATGGGACCACGTCCACAGAACATAATGCGCCTGAGCCAAAGTTGGATTTTTCACAGTTTTTGTTGGACGTTTGGTCAAAGTTGGATCAGAATTTTGCCCATTGCAGACGATATCTTTTCAGACACAACATTTGAAAACTATAGACTGTGACGGGATCATCGTCGGGATGTCATCCTTAAATATGCGAATATAACCTTAAATGAGATGTTTTGTCCAAGTGCTATTTATATAATACATTGCGGGTATTGCGCTGGCACAGTAAACATGTTTAATCTGTTTACACCTTTGTAAAAGGATGGTTTGTGCTTATATTAATAAGTTATAATAAGAGAGTAACGTCTAGAATTGCAATACCTACATGTAAATGTGTAAAATAAATAGCATTTCAGAAGGTCTAACAATTAAGGATTTCCCTGAACCCCAAGATTACTCAAGACTTTGCTCAAGATCCAGCCCTGTGGTTCATACACTTGTACTGTGTCCAACCTTGCTTGTAATGATAGAAAATTGGGAGAGGATAAATTGGATCGTAAAAGGACTAAGGAGCTAATCATTTCTACTGCTCCCATATATCTCAATCAGGCAACATCAATGCATGTAACTGTTTCAAACTGTTATTTAAGGCCACACCAATTTGATTTCTTGGTTAACGGATTTTTCTAGAAAAATATTGGAGTGGGCGGGCGAAAAAAATAAATAAATAAAAAACAGGCCTAGGCATCCTATTATGGCCCAAATTGGTATGATAGGAGCCATGAAGTCAAAACACAAGGATGGTTCAAAATTTAAACAATGAATTTTGAACTTTTAATGATACCACTGCGTTGAAAGATGGAATAACTGTAACAACTAGTATGAAAAGGACTGTTTTCAACTGTTCAGGGAAAAATATGAGCATTCTGCAGTTGATTCTGAATTTTTATTTTTATTTGCAAATCAGAAAAAAATGAAGCGGGCGAATCCGTTAACCAAGAAATTAAATTGGTGTGGCCTAATGCTCCAAAATAAAAATGACAAGAATTTACAGGCCCATAATATGATGCTTTAGGCCAGTGACACATTTGAAAAAATGGATACGATCCTACCTACAAACAGCTATGCTTATTAACTGAAGGGCTTCCATATGTTATACCAGACTAAGTATGAAATTTCAGTACAACCTCTGTTCTGACCCAGTCATTTATCATGATGTCATTAATGTCAAACTTTCATATCTCAGACTGTTCCAGGTCAGGAATTTTGGATATCCCAATTACTACTGTATCTGAAACACCTGTGTATTTTCGGACAGATTCCGGCTCAAAACTATGGATATGTGCACTGTATAGTAATTATCATTACATGCTATTTACACACATTTTGGCTCTTTTTGATGTTCTGACAAAATGTATTGGATGCCCCTATCTGTCTCTACATGTACAGTTGAAACTGCCCACCTGCAAAATATATGACATTCAAAGACACCATGACTAAAAATAAGAAAACACCCCTTCAGCTACCTTTCCAACTGTAGCTTTCTGTCTATCAGCAGATTACAAGCAAATACTTCTACTCAAAAAAACAGTTACTCAAGCAACTGGATATGATTTTGGAAATGGTCAGACATTTCAGGTAGCATCCACTACCTTTCGTCAGTGACATTTTTGACGTATCTTATTACCTGGATGTCTAACCTTCAATGACGTAAATACTTCTACTCCTTGTAAACTCTATGAGCCAAAGTTTTTTCCTTCACCTGTGCAACTCTAGATCTGTCAGGCAGTTTGATTCCCCTGTAGGCTCCCCAGTCATGACTTACATCATGACAAAATCTGACCCACCATTACCCTTCGCCATATCTTTAACAATAAGATGGCTGTTGGGATCTACATTACTGTAGGATTGGGACATATATTACTGCACAATGGTGCTTTTGGGATGAGTTGTAGACAAAATGTCTGCCCTCACGTTCAGAAAAACGGCAAGGGCAAGAGTGGGGAATATACGTTCATATCTATCAAGGAGCTCTGATTTACGTATGGCCATTCTATACAGCCATACACAGATAAAACTGTAGGTATGGAAACATTTGCTGTGTTTTTAAGTTTGTGGATTGTATGAGGACCTCTTATTATGTATTCAGCACAAATATTATGTTAGTATGATTATTGTTTGAACAACGAACTCAAAGTTACTGTGAAGATTATTAGGCTGATTTTTACTTTGTTGCTAAATTTTGGTGTCGTGAACTTGATTGATTTTACAGTAAGCTGACAGCAATTCGAATCAGAACTACCAGTGAGACATTGTCTGGCAGATAATGCAATGATTAAGTCACACAGCATACTGTGCAATTATAGATCCATTTGAGAGTCTCCCAGTAGACAGCTTGTCTCTGTAATGTAGACATCTGAGATGAGATCTCAGGTTTTATCAGTAGTTAGGTCTTCTGTTTGACATTTTCATACGGATGACATGATGAGAAAGATTACACTTGTCTGTTTCTATCTATACGTTACATCTCACGTTGCATTGATGTATAGTCATAAACTGAAAATTTGTTAAGTTAAAACTTCATTTTTAGGGAAGTAGACATTCACAGTGTTTTTGAAAATAAATGGTTTGGTGATGACAATAAAAAAAATTTTACAATGAAGAGATAACAGAAAAAAAACTGGAACAAAAAACACTGGATATTTCACAATTTACAGTAATCGTAATTACAGATATCATCAGCAAGTCTATAAGTTTATTCATGAATTATTGTTCAGGAATGTCTTCATAATTACATGTATTAACATGGATTGTTTGGGAAGCTATTTTGACACCCTTGATTGATTTTGCATGAAAGCTGTTTCTTTGCTTGACAGGAAAATTTTATCAAGCCTGACAAAGCATCCATTTGGGTTATGCAGGGGTGTATTATGTATACCTTTGGGTGGTAGATTAGATTACTATGTTTCTTGCGTGCACGCAAGATAGTTTCACTTAGATAGCTGTCAGACTAACTTCTTTATGAAGTCTTGCCGCCTACGTGTCTGTAGAGAAAATGTTAACACTGATCACTTGACATGATTGAAAATGACGAAAGAAAGTATGTTTGAATCCAAAAATGTTTCAGTGATTAAATGTTTTATTTTATTATCACCTAACCACTGGGATATGCTTAATATATATTAGCATTTACATTGAACAATTGAAAGCATTTACAGATGTGCAGATGAAAGAACATTCAATCAACAAGAAAAAAATCTCTAGCTGCATAATCACATACGTCTTTGGCAAGGTGTTCCGACAGATATAGTAGGTTTATCAGTCTTGTGAACTATTATGGGAAAAGCTTGCACAAATCAAACAGCTAGAAGATGGCTTTTACATGGATGGAGAAGTTTTCTATTACTTTGTTGTTTGCTGAGAATACATATAGGCTTGTATTATTGGTGTCTGTGTTTGAAGAGGGTTTTGCTGTCCTTGAGAACTTAAGCTACAGAAGGGGCTAGCTTACATCAAAGGGAGTTCTCTTAGCCATATGGTTGATCTGAAAGGTTTTGCCGTCCTTGTGTTATTTGGCGGTGCCTTATTCAAGATTATCAGTTATTCTGCTTCAATGCTGACTTGAAAGTAAAAAAATATAGTGCCATTTGCAAGCATCCATGTCCACTTGTCTATGTAGAATAACTATTGCTACTGCAAGAAATACAGATTGATGAACATATGGAAAAGAAACAATATGCAGCATCCAGGATTTTGGGGTAACTCCTATGTGTACTTCTGATGCTGGGTTAACATCAATTACTGGTGCCGGTAAATTGTAGGTTGCAGGGTGGTATTTTGGGTGATGGACTCCATAATGCTTCTCAGGAAGTCTGGAGAGACTGGGCATCATTACTCTGACAGTAATAACTCTGAAAGAAACATTACAAGTGATGGGTGAGTGGGTACAGAATGTGTGCAAGCCATCTTAAAATGCAAAACCTCTATGCAATGTGAAGAAAAATAGAAACGTAACATTTGCAAAGCAAATGCATAATGTTTACCTTCGCATATGGTCTGCTCTGTTAATTCTTACTCAAATACATTCATATATAGTCAGACAGGAGTATAAATCCCTACTACTATAAAATTGCAACATTATGTAACCCAACACCAGTTACCATGGTGAGAGAGATCAACAAATCAGGTCATTGGCCAGGTCAGAGGTCAGTGTTTGGAATGGAAGAAGAAGAGGAAATGTAGCAAAAACAATATTTTCCTTTGGTAAACATAAAAAAACACATTATAGCCAGAGTTTCGTCAAAGTCATACATATGGCTGCCCACATATCACCTGTAGTACATGTTGTAGTATGATGGAATAGGTAAGAATAAACCATGTCCGAAGGCCTCAGCCAGGTGAATAATGAAGCACTTGGCAGTTGGTCATCGAGTCGTGGGCAGTGGCCGGTCTGGCTGCTAATGCACTGAAAATGCCTCACAGCACCAATGAAAAAGGCGTATTAGTCATTTTCAACAAATGTTCCTGTCTGTGGGATGTAAAACTGTAGCCCAGCAGGGCTCAAAGTTGTGCTTAGCATACAGATCATGACCAACTTGGTGTACTTTGTGACAGCGAGTTGACAGAATGAGTTTTTGAACACCTCAATCCTTGGTTGATAACTCTGGTACTTGAAGGCATATTTCTTGTTCTTTTTTTCTGTGGGCCTTACGTGATTCTTGCTTCTGTTCCAGGTCTGTTCCTGATCATCGCGCTGGTTCTATACCCGGCAGGCTGGGGCACCGACCGCGTGCAGGACCTGTGCGGGTACCGCGCCAGCCCCTACTACATCAACGAGTGCACGCTGGGCTGGGCCTTCTACTGCGCCGTGGGCGGGACGCTCCTGTCCTTCGTGTGCGCCATCCTGTCCGTACAGGCGGACATCGCAACGTCCAGCGACAAGGTGGAGGATGAGATTCTAGAGGGGAAAAATCTCATCTGTCTGTTGTAGGAAGTAGTAGAGTGGGAGGGATACAAGTCATGGAAATTGGGTGGATTGGCTGGTTAGTTTGTTACTTGGTTTTTAGGAAGTAGTAAAGTCGGAGGGATCCAAGTCATAGAAATTTGGTGGATTGGCTGGTTAGTTTGTTACTTGGTTTTTAGAAAGAAGTAGAGTGGGAGGGATCCAAGTCATAGAAATTTGGTGGATTGGCTCAGGTTAGTTTGTTTGTTACTTGGTTAGTTCGTCAGTTGATATGTGAGTGGATCAAACCTTCTGTCTGGTCAGAGAGTTGGTGTCTTGTAAAGGTGATATTCATCTGTTCTGTTCATACTGCCACAAATGTGGTAAATCTGGATAAATAGATAAAAGAAATAAGTCACAGCCAGCTTCAGTGAATGAAATGAATGAAAACAAGTGGATTTAATGCAGATAAATGGAATTAAGTTGTGAAATTTAGCCAAGTAATCAAATTTGTGTGGCATGGGGTGAGAGAGAAGTTAAGGTTGTGAAATTTTGAAATGCTTTGAAACATCACCAGCCAGGCAAACAACTATAGAAACCTGTCTTTGAAAAGAGTGCCATATTGCATTGACTGCAAGTGACCAAGGTATGAAATACTTAGCCACGTTTAACAAAAAAAGGAATTGTTTCTGAAGGAAAAGCATGCGATTATACACAACAATAAAGGACAGAACACAATATTCACAGTCAAAATGTATAAGCTAAGTGCAGATGTATATGTTTTGTGTGCCATTGTCAGTACAGTGTGGTAGGTATGAAAATATGATTATTTTGTAAATACATTTCAATGTCCTGTATATTATATGCATGAATGGTGAGTTGTTCACTTTTTTATCTGTACGAAGCTACTGTAATTAAGGGAGCAATGCAATTGTCATAAATGCCTTGTAGTGTTCAAAACACTAGCCCATAATAATTCTCCTCAAACATTCATCTAATACCACATTCATATGCAGTAATGCTAAATTGCCATAGTGAACAACAATAGTTATTTTTGCTACACTGTATCCAATGTGGATTTCGCATTCTAAAAAGAACTGCAAATACGAAGAAAAAACAGTGAAAGTTCTACCTACACCTTGCCATGCTACATTGTAGAAATCTCTTGAAGAAGAGATTGTGCCAAAATGCCTAATTTTTAGTACAGCTTATGAGGGGAGTTTTAGTAAAGGGAGTTTTATACTATGTGTACAATGCTAAAATGTGATGTTTGCTTACTTAATACTTGCATTGGGTATATTTCAAGTACCTGCGTGTTTTGAGCGTTGCACTTCTTTCTGTGTAGCGAAAGATTGTAGATTAAAGAGCATTAACATGACAAGGAAAATATGGCGAAGTAGAGACAGAATAGAAATACAGTTGAGGTATGAAAAACAAAGATTTAGTCATGTTCATTTTATGTCTGTGGAAACTAGGAACTGCTTCTTCGGTCCATTCTCTGCAACGTTTGATCTCGCTTGTATAAACACCAAGAAATTTGATGTGAAAAATCATCTTAGATACACTTTGTCATTCTGTGAATAGCTTTGTTAGGTTGGAAAGTATTAGGAAAATAAGAACTGAGTAGTTATTCCAAAATCATATTTTCCTGTACTTTGTCATGTAAGAATATTTCATTTTATCATTCACAGATTTCAATGATCAACATATTCTAATGAGAAAGTGTGGGCTCAATTGGAGTTCCTTGTCATATATACTATACATATAACAGGAAACGGAGCAAAAAAATAGGTTTGCAAGTGCCATATACTTGGTCTGCTTCTATGGTAGAATAGTTTCCAGACATTAATGTACACTACATTGGTAAATACTTGTGGGATATTTCGTTTAATTAATAAGTCTTAAACAGAAGTATAATATTGATGTGGTAGTTTGTATTTTGTGTTTTTAAGTATCAGTGTCTTGTTGATAAATAGTAAGAAAAGTTGTAAATACATGTTTGTACATATCTACATATTGTTACTTTTTCTGTCATGTGCCTCCCATAATCAATATTTATGTATGTCAAAAATTAAGTGTCAAAGTTGATAATGTGAATTGTAAGCCTGCCAATTTTAAGAAATTTTGGATATATTTATGTGCAAGTGATTTTATTGCAATTCACAATATGATTTTAATTATAAGAGTGATTTTCAAGGAACCCTCATACAGTGAATGGGGCAATTATCATTGTAACCAAAAGAATTTTGTTTTACTGTTGTTTCTGTTCTTGTGTATTAAAGAAAAAAACAACTTCAATTCCTTTGTGTTTTCTTTAAATTGGTATTTAGAATAATAACATAAGTTGCAATCAATTTGTAGACCGAAAATTGGGACGTACTAAAACGAAATCACCCGAAGATGACGTAAAGCACGAAGTGACCCGAAGATGACGTAATACAGTGTACCATCCTGTCCTTGGTGCTGAACACCCTTCTAACGTTGACGCGATCATGGTTAGACCCTAGTTCATCTAAATTTAGAGTTTAAAACGCATCGCAATTATGGGGACAACGTCTTCTTTGTGGTTTTAATTATATTTCTGAAATCGCATTTAGTCGTCAAATGTAAAAATTCATTGTTATTGGCCACATAGACCACGTAGCAATGTCCGTACGTTGACCCACTGGTAGCGAGATTAACTGTTTCATCTTGAGTTATGCGGCCCAACTGTGCATTTTATGTGCTGCTGTAAAGCTTAAAGACAGTCGCAACGTGGGCTATAAACATTAGAAGGGATGACCTCACAACTTCTTTTTGTTTCTGGATGTTCACGAATTCGTGTTCTCTGTAACAAAGCGATATCTGCTCAGGGCAAGGCAGAGAAGTCAAAAAGGGGGGCACAATCCTTTCTAAGTTAGGCTGGCCCTTGAAATTCGAAGCGATCTTTTCCTAACCAAGAACGGCCATGTTATAGTCATTCAACAACCGTCTTCTTTAACGTCTCTCAAGAAACTTTCGGCCTTTGGACGATTTAAAACCTAGCCTCTCGCCGTTAAATGACACACCCCATACGCAATGCAGCACACCCACCCACAGTTTCAGGCCAAAAGACCATGAAATGAGTTTTGTAACAACTACCGTCATATTCCATCTATCAGCATAGCTCTAATCACAGAACGATCGACTACAGTAACATGCAGTAATATTATCTGCAGTGTTTTAAAATTCAGCTGCACTTTCTTGATTAATTGAGCTGCCGTATTGAATCTAACGCAGGATGGTTCTCAATTAACGACTAAGGAATACATCATACCAGAAGAAAGCTTAAGAGTCTCTTCATACAAGCATCTCTCCTTGTCCTCAATAACTCGTTAAACGTACCGGCTCATAAACTTGACGTTACAATAAATGTGCACAAGAATGCCCGAGTCATTAACTCCAGACGCGTGTGTCCAGGTGAAACAGAGGCCTGTGGGTAGAAATGTCCTTGCAGAGGGTCGATAAGATTTTACGACGGCTTCCCCCCCCCCCCCCAGCCCACTTTACGGCGCTACAAAACAAGGTAGAAATGTCTCTTCAGAGCTTAATGTTGGTGTGGTAGTTGCTGACTCTACAATATCTATAACACTAAATAGTTGCTAACTGTGCGATGATCAAATTTTATGGTTGTATGTGAGATACACATTAGTCTAAAACGTTACCATATGAACGAAAACCAAGCAGATGTCAGGGGGAGAGTTGCCATTGTATACGATTTCTCCGCTTGGTTTTCATTCATACGGTACTGTCTTCGACAGCGAAAACTCCACTTCTGCAAGCGATCAGCTGATCGCAGAAACACGTTTTGACTAAGGGCCGAAATTCCCCAAGACGGGTGAACTCACTGGTTAGGCACACGAACAAGATGAAGTCAGGCGTGTTTTTAAACTTGACTGGTGCATTACTTCCTCCGTTCATGCCCTCGTCTCTCCCATCACTTCAGCGTCAAGTTAAGGGAAGGTCTGTGCCCCTATAATCCATTAAGTAAGATCTATCCCCCTCACGGATGCAGTTTTACCCGTAACAGGATTGAGAGTCGTAAGAGCCTGACTCGGCATCGCTGAACGCCGGCGGCAGAGCTGTGGCCACTGTGCGTGTAAGTAGGGAGTTAGTAGTCTCTGCCAGACTCCTTTGCAGGCTGAATAAATAGTAGAAATCGGCAAAGGGGGAAATCATTGGCCAGAGGAGTTGGCCGGCCATAGAGGGTCCAGTTTGCCTGCACGGAGGCAAACTGGACCCTCTATGGCCGGCCAACTCCTCTGGCCAATGATTTCCCCCTTTGCCGATTTCTACTATTTATTCAGCCTGCAAAGGAGTCTGGTAGAGACTAGCATCTTCCGCCACAACAACAAAACTGACTTGAATTGTTCGGCGCCCCTCTATCCTAGCCTGTACCAGTCTCGGGGAGGCGGCTGGAAAGAGTAGAAATCAGCCAAATAGGAGTGCGTCGAAATGTTCTCTCAACGGACAAACTCCCTTGGCATGCTTATCTCTCTATTTGGCCGATTTCTACTTTTTTCAGCCGCCTCCCCAAGCCTGGTAGAGGCTACTATCCCTCAACGACGGTCCAAAGAATGCTCTCAATTTGCTGTCGTTAAGACTGACGGGACCCTTTAGATGGGGGAGGAAAACTGGTCGCACGGCCTTGAACTAGCAAACAATAAGTTCACATGGACTTGTCTCAGTTACAGGAAAAGTTTACAAGCCAAAGTAGAAAACACAATATTCTAAGAGCGCCTCATAATCATAGAGGCTACACATGCATATGGCTGGTCGTTTTGCTCCCCAAAGCGCTGTACATACAAGCGAGGCGTTACTTGATAACTCAGGACAAGAGATGTAAAGACCACATTCAAGCAGATTTCTAGGTAAATAGTAATATTAAACGTGTTCTGATCG